GGAAACCCAAGGAGGGGTCACTATGAGTCGGGTCCGACTCAACAGTACATAACAACAACATAGTACAGCTTATAGGGACAAGGTTATACAAATTTCTTAGCCATAACCAAACACCTTGAGGGACCGAGTCACTGGAGTTGAGGGCTTTAAGATCATAATCTCGTGGGACATCTAGATCAATTGGTATAAAATCATCCATAAATACAATTTTCCACATCCTACTTAGGTGAATAGCAATTGGGGTCTGGAAAGCTTTCAAGTCGCATCTAAAACACAACTGTTGACATCACTTCGCCCTCCAACTGCGATAGCTGCAGCTCGTCTTTGAGCGAGTCAAGCGCCCTTAGCTGCGAGCGGAGCGGCTCAGCAGAACCACTCAGATCGCTGGATCACCCCTTTCCGCGGCCTCTCCATGGCGACCTACAGGCAGAGCTGCACGCCAATGTGTATTCCTCCATCAAATGCTGACCTTGGCAAAGCTGCTAGAGATATTTTCAACAAACGATTGAGTTTTGGCTTGGTGAAACTGGATGTGAAAACAAAGTCATGCAGTGGAGTGGAATTGTCAACATCTGGTTCATCTAATTAATACAGACACTGGTAAAGTTACTGGGACCTTGGAGACCAAATATAAATGGTGTGAGTATGGTCTACATTCATAGAAAAATGGAACACTGATAACACCCTGGGAACAGAAATTGCAATCAAAGACAACATTTGTCAAGGTTTGAAATTGACATTTGATACCACCTTCTCACCAAACACTGGAAAGAAAAGTGGTAAAATCAAGTCTTCTTACAAGAAGTGTATAAACCTTGGTTGTGATATTGACTTTGATTTTGCTGGACCTGTAATCCCCAGTTCAGCTGTCTTTGGCTATGAGGGCTGGCTTGCTGGTTACCAAATGACCTTTGATAGCACCAAGTCAAAGTTGACAAGGAATAACTTTGCAGTGGGCTACAGGACTGGGGACTTCCAGTTACACACTAACGTTAGTGATGGGACAGAATTTGGACGATCAGTCTATCAGGAAGTAGGTGAAGATCTTGACATTTCAGTAAACCTTGCTTGGACATCAGGTACCAACTGCACTCATTTTGGCATCACCACTAAGTATCAATTGGATCCCACTGCTTCCACCTCTGCAAAAGTCAACAACTCTAGTTTAATCAAAGTGGGCTATACTCAGACTCTGAGGCCTGGGGTGAGGCTTACACTGTCTGCTCTGGTAGACAGAGCATTAATACTGGAGGCCACAAACTTGGGCTCGCTCTGGAGTTAGAGGCTTAATCCAGCTGAAGAAACCTCTGGAAATGGATTTCAGAAGATTTGGCCTTAATATATTTCCATTGTGACCAGCAGGCTTTTTTCCCCCCAAGAAGGTGATCAAAACAAAGGATGATCTAAACAAGAGCTGTATTTTAAATATTTAGACAGTTATTTGTTAGCTGCTTTCTAGTTGAATTGGTTATCTAGTTACCAATGCTGCAGTCATGCAGTCATCTACACATTATTTAAATGTATTCAGCTGTTAAATGTGCTACCCACCAATAACGAAATAGACCTTTATAAAAACTGTGCAATTGTGTGCATGTTTGTTTTTATGTTCCTTTCAATATTTGATATTACTGTTGAATGAAATGGATCATTGGATGTTTAAGATGAGGCTAAAATTTTTTGTTAAATTCAACCATCCTTAGAAATACTTTTGGTATCCCAGAACATTACAAATTATGAATAAAACAAGTATACATTAATAAATAACTAAGTAAAATGCAACTATTGCTCTCTTCCCATCCAGTGAAAAGAAGAGTAAAGAAAATCAAAGACTCAAAAATAAATAAATAAAAATAAAACCCCAATTAGTCCAAAGGACTAATGGACCACAAAAACCAGTCTCCACTAGTCTGAGACTAGAACTAGTTGGTGCCCAGCTACCACTACTGATAACTCTGATCAGAATCATAGTAGAAGGTCCTAGACAGAATGGGAGAAACATTTAGAACAAAATTAAAAAACATGAAAAAGACCAGACTTATTTCAAACATGAAAATCACCAGAGTGATTTGATAGAAACTGGTGTAACCCCTGAAGCTATGCCCCTTACATCCTCTTCAAACTTGAAACTGAACCCACTCCCAGAGATCCCCTTTCAGCCAAACAATAGCCAGGTCTATAAAGTGAACAATAACATCCTTGAGGAGCATATCCCTCAAAACTATCCACCACATAAGACCAAAGAGGTGGCATTTTCCTGAACAAAAGTTCAGAAGGCAGGAATGATGGGCAAATAAAACAGGGAACCCAGAGAGTAGGTACGAAAAGTGCTGTTACATTGAGAGGATTGTGACTAATGTCAGAAAACAAAATGTGTATAAACTCTTGAAATGGAAACTAATTTGTTCTGTCAACTTTCACCTAAATCACAAGAAAACGTCCAAAAGAAATCATTTAGGTTTCTATACAACAGCAATGATAAATCTGAAAGGGAAATTAGGAAAACAATTCCATTTACAATAATATCTAAGAGAATAAAATACCTAGGAGTAAATCTAACCAGGGACATGAAGGACTTATACAGTAAAAACTACAAAACACTATTGAAAGAGATTAAAGAAAACTTAGGTAAGTGAAAAGATGTTTCATGTTCATGGACTGGAAGACTTACTATTGTTAAGATGTTAATACTACCCAAAGCAATTTATCATTTCAGTCTAATCCTGATGAAAATTCCAACAACCCTCATTACAGAAATAGAAAAACCAATTCTCAACTTTATATAGAATGTCAAGAGGCCTTGAATAGCTAAAACAGTGTTGAAATAGAAGAACAAAGTAGGAAGACTCACACTTCTTGATTTTAAAACATCCTCTACAACTACAGTAATCAAAACAACCTGGCACTTGTATAATAATAAACAAGTAGACCAATGGACTAGAATAGAGAGTACAGAAATAAATATGCACATCCATGGTCAACTGATTTTTTACAAGCGTACTAAAAGTTCATTCAATGGAAAAAGAGGAGTCTCTCCCATAAATACCCAAACCAAACCCACTGCCGATGAGTTGATTCTGACTCATAGCAACCGCCATTGGGTTTCCAAGCCTGTAAATCTTTATGGAAGTGGATTGCTTCATCTTCCTCCTGTGCAGCAGCTGGTAGGTTTGAACCACCAACCTTCTGGTTAGCACCCAAATGCCTTACTCACTACACCACCAGAGCTCCTTTTCTCCCATAAGTGGTATTGGAAAAATTGGGTTTCCACATGTGGAAAAAGGACACAGAATACTTGGCTCACATCATCCACAAAAACAAATTCAAAAATGTGTTAAAGACCTAAATGTGCAAACTAAAACCATAAAATTCTTAGAACAACAAGCAGGGGCAATACTGTCAGGCCTACCTTTCAGCAGTGGATTATGTAATATCATAACAAAAGCACAAACAGTAAAAGATAAAAAAGCACAAAAAGTAAAAGATAAAAGATAAATTTTTATGGGACCTCATAAAAATTAAAAACTTTGTTTATCTAAACATTTTACCAAAAAAGTGAAAAGGCGAGCTGCCAAGTAGGAGAATATCTTCAGATCCAACAAGAATCTAATAACCAATATATGTATACAATTTCACAACACAAAACAAATAACTCAATCATAAAATGGGCAAAAGACTTGAATAGACATTTATCCAAAGAGGATAATCAGATGGCCACCAAACACATCAAAAGGTGTTCAGCATTATTAGCCATCAGAGAGATGCAAATGAAAATCACAGTGGGATATCATTATATTTTCACTGAAATGGCTAAGATTTTTTAAAAAAGAAAATAACAAGTGTTGATGAGGATGTGAGGAAATTGGAACCCATATACATTATTGGTGGAAAATGCAAAATGGCACAGCCACTCTGGAAAACAGTGTGGTGCTTCCTCAAAAAACTAAAATTAGAACTACCATGTGACCCAGCAATTCTACTCCTAAGTGTATACCCAAAAGACTTGAAAGCAGAGACTCAAAAGAGACTTGTGCACCAGCGTTCACTGCAGCAGTATTCACAATAGCCAAAAGGTGGAAACAACCTAAATGTCCATCAACAGATACATAGATAAAATATGGTACATACATGTAAAGAAATACTACTCAGTCAATAGGAGAAATGAAGTCTTGATACATGTTACTGTATGGATAGAGCTTGAAGACCTTATGCTGAATGGAATAAATCAACCATAAAAGGACAAATGTTGTATGATTTCATTTATATAAAAAGACAAGAAAAGGAAAATGTATAGAGATCAAAGTTTATTAGCAGTTACCAGATGTGAGAGGAAGAGGGAAAAGGGGGGTTAATAGTGACAGAAAAATCTCATTGATTAAGGGTAGAGTGCACAGCCAATTATTGTAATTACTGCCAATAAGTTGTATAACTATAAAAAGTTGAATTGGCAAAAGTTGTGTGATAGACATATTTACAACAACACACACACACAAAAGAGTAGTTGCAGATGCTACTTATGTACATGCAAACATCTCATGGGATTTGGTTTCTTGGATTAGAAGTTTAGGGTCATGGGTTCATGGGACATCCCAGCCAATGAACCTAATAATTAGTTAGAGCTTCTATTCTACCTTAGTTTTTTGTGTAGTGCCGAGAGTCTTAAAAGCTTGCAAGTGACCGTCCAAAGCACAATACTTGGTGTCTATGCACCTGGAACAACAGGGGAAGAAGGAAAGTCAGTAATAGGAGTAATAGGTAGAAGTTATGGAATATGTGGCTAATTGCCTCCAGGAACAATTGCCTCCTTTGCCATGAAACTGGAACTGGATGGTGACCACATACCATCACTGAACATTTTGATCAAAGAATTCATAGAAGAATCCTGATCAAAAGTGGGAAAATGCTGAACAGAATTTCCAATTCAAATGGCTATCTGGAGCCATGGAGGGTGGACAAGCCCCTGAAACTAGTGCCCTAAGATCATCCTTAAGCCTTAAACCAAAATATCAGCTAAAGTCTTCTTAAAATCTAACAATACCATGGTTTAGCTTAACTAGTAAATATGGTCATCCTTGAGTATTATGTCTTTTAAGAACTATAAATAAGGGATCAAATTGACAACAACAACTCAAAATATTAGGTACAAACTTTAGGGGGCTGTGATTTTTTAATCAGGGAGTAACAACTCAGAAAAGGAGAGTGAGAACGGTTGCACAACTCAAAGAATGTAATCAATGTCACTAAATTGTGCATGTTGTTGTTGTTATGTGCCATCGAGTCGGCCCCGACTCATAGCGACCCCTCCTTGGGTTTCTGAGGCAGTATCACTACAGAAGGAGGATTGCCCAACCTTCCTTCCGAGGAGTGGCTGGTAGGTTTGAACCGCCAGCCTTCTGGTTAACAGTCTAGTGCCTTAGGCATTATTCTACCAGAGCATGTAGAAACTGTTAAATTGGTATATGTTTTGCTGTATATATTCTTAACAAAAATAAAATATGAAGAAAAAATTCTCGAATTGCTGCTTAGGACAGCACAGCACTATCTTCATAGGCTCCACATTTACTACCCCAGTGCCAAATTGCCTTTTGCTTCCCAGTAGTGTCTCAGTATTGAGTCTAGACATCTTTAGTCTTGTTTTTGCTCTAGTGCCTGAACTATTCACTCTAGGCTCACATATTAGATTCTCTTCTGACTCCTGTCACTAGCTTATGCCCCCTGGCAATATGTTCCCACAGGCAGTCTACCAGCAATAACCTCTTTAAAAATCCCAGTTGCAGACAAGTCAATTCCAATTCATAGCAACCTCATGTGTCAGCATAGGACTGTGCCCCATAGGATCTTCAGTGACTGATTTTTTGAGAGTAGGTTGCCAGATCTTTCTTCCAAGGCACTTCCAGGTGGACTCAAACCACCAGACTTTCAAGTACTTTAAACATTTGCATCTTCCAGGGACTCCAACAACTTCCTGACCCAATAAGTACCAGGACTCCAGGCGAGTTCCCTCAGAAAGTACATAATGATTGAAACCTGATCATTTATAGGGTTGGTCAAGACAACCTGTAAGTGACTTGATGATCATTACAGACAAGTGTGATAGGTTTTGTTGTTGTTATGGTTGTTAGATGCCATCTAGTTGATTTTGACTGACAGTGACCCTACATGACAGAGTAGAACTACCCCACAGGGTTTTCTAGACTATAATCTTTATAGAAATATGTCACCAGCTTTTTCTCCTGCAGGCAAGTTAGGTAGATTCGAACTGCCAACTTTTCAGTTGGCAGCCTAGTGCTTAACCAGTGTGCCACCAGGGTTCCTTGGGATAGGGTTAGGCCTAGAAAAGATCTGGCTGTTTTTTGGTTGGGTGGGTGGTTGGTGGGTTTTTTTGTTTTGTTTTAATGAATTTTCTGGGGAAGGAAGGGATTTATCCTGTGCATATGCAATTTTAGTAATACTGTTTGGAATGTCTTTCAGTCTACAAATTCAACATGTTGCTATAGAAACAGATCTCTATCTGAAACATATCCAATCAGTTCTGAAATTATCATTCAGAAGACTTTCATAAATTGGAATGGATCCAACAGGTACTCAGAATGTCAGTATTCAAGCACTAAGCTGCATTTTCTCCTTTGTTAAATTACGCTAATGATAAGAAATGAGGAGAAAGAATCCAACTTAGATATACATAGAAATACAAAAATATTCAATGTGAGAACATTTCATCTTGATTCAATTATCCTTGAAACATTAAAATAGAGCA